CCCCAAAACCCCAAAACCCCAAGGTTTATTATTTTGATGCTGAAAGAATAAATTAATTTTTTTAAAAAAATGTCATATAAATTTGAAATGGATGAGCAAATAGATTAACCTAATATTTTCATCCAAAAAGATCCCTTTTACATTCACTAAGCCCCTAGCTTAAAATTCCTTAACTATTTTACTAAACAAGATTTTAAATATGTGGGGATGAAACCATGCAACACAGTATTATTTGAAAATGACCTTATTGACAGTAAAAATCATCTCGAAGAATTCGGAAAAAATCTTGATAAATATTTATTGAGGGAAAAAATGTAAATGAAAGACTAGGATGAAATCGATATTGAGTTAACTAAGTTATAAGAATTTCATTAACTCAGGTTAGACAATTTAAAAAAGAAGTAAAATCTTGTAAATGCCTCACGTAACTGCGGAAAATTTACTGATAATTTCAAAAAGCTAATGGGCAAGGTCAAATAGCATCAAATCAAATTAGAACTTAAGACCACCTATAGCTCAGAGATTGACCTAATTTTAAAACGGAGATAGGAGAGTTTCGATAATTTCTCAGATTTCTTGAAAAATCTAATGAGTTAACCTAATTTAATGCTTATTTAAGAATTACTAAAAGAATATAAACTTTTTGAATTAGATAAGCTTGAAGATGTTATTCGAGTTTTCAAGTAACTTAATTTAGCAGACAAAACCAATGAAAACCTTTGTTAACTTCTATAAATAATAATAGTATGTAACTCAATAAGTGAGATGAAGTTAGATCACATTAGTCTGATCAGTAATAAGGAATATTTTGTAATCATATTGATAGCACTAAGTCCAAAGCAATTCTTATTCAAAGAGGTTTCAATTCTAGAAATATTAAAAATTTATCCGGAGTTAGAAAAAATCATAGTTGGGCTTCATAATAAATCTCTTAAGATTTTATAATTTTTCACAAAAGCCTGCATTGATTAAGGATTATAATAAATTGTCACTGAATAATTGGGAGTCATGCTCAATAAAATGATTACTGACAAAAAGTCTTCATAAATATGCAGGTTGAGTGCATATCTAAGTACAATACTTGAAAATACTCCGTTAGAATATTTGAAATCGATTAAGCCTATTACTTAGTTTGTGAAAGAGTAGCTACTGGAGGATATGAAGAAACTATCACATGAACCAAAAGATTGTGAAGTATGTAAAATAGGGAAAATTAAATTCATTGAGAAGTTAGAGAGTTTTTTGTGATTTTATTGTGGAGATTATTTGAATTATCTTAATTACTTAAAATATTCAAAGTATTTCAAATACAGATCAAATCACACACAAGGGGTTTTGGGGTTTTGGGGTTTTGGGG